GGGGAGCTCTATCTCAAGACCCTCAGCTGTGGGGGCAGCTAGGTGGTGCAGTGGATAGAGCACTGGCCTTGGAGTCAGGAGGACCTGAGTTCAAATCCAGTCTCAGACCAGACACCTAACACTCACTAGCTGTGTGACCCTGGGCAAGTCACTTAACCCCCGTTGCCTCACAAAAAAAAAAAGACCCTCAGTTGTTTAGAAGATTGTCTTCAGTCCCTTATAAGATGAATGACAAATGCCACTTTATATTTATAGATGCATTTCCTTAGATCAATACTGTCAAACAATAACAAATTCTAAAAGTCATTCAGTTCATGTATGTGGACCACCTTGCAGAAAAAAAAAAAGTTTTTTTTTCAAGGCCATCTCCCTGCATCTTGTGCAACCTCAATTGTCAGTAGGATGAGACAGCTGGAGTATTACTGCAGTAACCTTTCCATCTATCTGTCTCATTGTACCCAACATCATCTCCCCTTCTCCATACATTTCCCACACACAGGTTTGATCATGTCTCATCTCATTGTGACTTCTGTTCAAAAAAAAAGAAAAAAAAAGCTTCAGTGGATCTCTTAGCCTCTAGAATAAAATAATAAAGACCTTTGCACATTTGAAGCTGTTTACAATTAGGATCCAAATTGCCTTTTCATACTTCCATTATTCTCTCTATACCAAAACCATTCCCTGGCACATAGTGACATTCCACCTTTTGTCTCTGTGTCTTTGCACAATGTCCAAAGATGCCTGGAAAATTCTTGCTCCTCACCTTCACCCCTTGGAGGAAACCCGTAGTTCTATCTTGTATTTACTTATATGTGTGTGTTGCTTTTTCCAAGTACAATAAAAGTTCCTATAGAGTATAGAAATAGTTATCATTTTTGTCTTTGTCCAGTGCCTAGAACCTGGCACAATAGTGGGTAATAGTAGGTGCTTTAAATAGAATTAATGTTAATGGTTTTCTTTCCTGCAGACTATCAGAGGCAGCCAAAAGACTATAAAAGATGCCTTAGGAGCCCAAGTAACACTAGTATATTATTTCTTTCTTAATTCATCAAACAAATAATTTGATAAAAACATGCCACCCAAAATGCAATAGAGAGAGAAGCCTTGATAGGCATGAATAAGCTACAAAAACATTACCGACCAAGAACTGAGCAAGAGAGGCAGCACAAAGGATGTCAGAAAATATGAAAGTAAAGTGAACGCTGGAGCAAATGAGATAACCAATGTCCAGCCCACGTGGTACATTGCTATCCTACACAACATTAAAGAAACCTTTGTGTCCCTTGAGCTTAAAAGGCACAGTGCCTGATGCAGAACACACACTTAATTCAATTCAATTCCATAAACCTTAAGATCCAACTATGTGCAAGAAGCAGTGCTAAGCACTGAGGATATAAATAAGAAAACAGTCTTGCCCTCAAGGGACTTATAATCTAACAGGGGACAAAAACACACAAAAATAGATGTCTATATGAGGGGCACCAGAAAATATCCAATGCAGAAGTGTGATATTCTGTGGAGTTGAGACCAAACTGAAGGAAAATGGAGAGTTACCATTCATTAATTAATTAATAGCATCTAACAAATGCATCTTTTTGTTGCTAAGAAAGGTCCTCAGAATGTTGATAGAAGACAAACCCCCTTATGGAGGATTGATGGTAAGAGAGTGAATTAAAGTCTTATGGAGGCATATGGCTTAAGTGAGTTCTCAATTTGCATAATTGAGGGGGAATACCCACATGTGGAAATGTCAAAGTCAATAAAGTCTCGAAATCCTATGAAAAAAATCTCATTATAACCTTTTTTATTTCTTTCTCTTTTTATTTTAGAATGAAATTCAATACTTATTTTCATTGAATGAGTCCTGTAGAAAACAAAACAAAACAAAGAACCACCCATTTGGCTGCAGCCTCTGATCCATAATCATTCATATCTCATATTCAGTGAAAACTTGTCGAAATTAACTATGTAATTAATATGCTTTAAAATACATGTATCTAATGAATATGAAAGATCAGGTGGGATCATTAAGGAATTTTTATATGAATTATGTGGAAGAATTAAATGTGTAGCCTTCATTTCTCTGTGAGGATAAAATTTTACCAGCTGACTGTTCTTCTAAAGTTGTAAATAGACTGTCAATTATCCACTTGGTTCTTCTGCTTCACATAATTTCCTGCACTTTTTACATCACCTCGAAATTTTTTATTGTGGTCTCTATCAGTAAAAAAATGTTTGAGAACACACTCCTAATATAGCATATTTATTAATTTAAGGAGGGAATTCAACTAAGAATATCTCCCCATTTTTCACTGAGCTGCATTACTTTGAGACTTCTCTGACTTCTCCATCCTGCACTGGGTACCTTGCGTTGTCTTCCCCCATTAGACTATAAACTCCTTGAGGTCAGAAACTATCTTCCTATTTTCATATTTATATTGCCATTGCTTAGCACTGTGCCTTGCACATAATAGGGCCTTAATAAATGTTTACTGCCTGGCTGACTGAAATAGAAAGAATTGACCTGTCATCTCCTAAAAGAAACTACAAAATGAAAACTCCCAGGAACATCATAGCCAACAACCTTCCATGTCAAAGAAAAAATACCACAAGCAGCGAGAAAGAAAGAAGTACTAAGTAAGGATCACATGTGATTTAGCAGCCACCGTTATAAAGAAGCAGAGAACTTGGAATGCGACATGCCTTAAGGCAAAGGACAAGGGCATACAACCTAGAATGGCTTACCCAGCAAAACTTAATATAATATTACAAGGTGAAAACAGATCTTTAATAAAATAGAGGACTTCCAAGCATTCCTAATGAAAAGATCGTAGCTACAGAGAAATTTTGAAGCTGAAACACAGGAGTGGAGAAACATACAAAGGTAAACATAAATGAACAGTGATAAAGGACTAAACAATGATAAACCATTTACATTCAAATATGGGGAGATGATACATGTATCCCCTCTGAACCCTATCATTATTAGGGTTCATAAGAGGGTGTCCAATTAGACAAAGTCTGAGACTGGTTCTGTTATGTCTTGATGATCTTAAGAAAAGAATAGAAAGAGAATGGGAGCAAGAATACTTTGGGGTGGGGAGGAAGGTTAGGGGAAATTATCTCATAATTTGGATTCACAAGTAGACATTTATGCGAATAAGAAGTGGGGAGGGGAGTGACTGACATGAGCCTCACTCATCTGAACCAGTCAAAAAAAGGAACACACACACACACACACACCACCTCCAACAACAACAGCAACAACAATGGCTGAACAAGAGGTTAAATGTTACGTCCAGAGTCACACAGCTAGAAAGTATCTGAGGTAGGATTTGAACTCAGATCTTTTTTACTCCAGGTTTAGCACTCTATTCACTATTATCACTTAGCTGGCTTCATGCATTTGTTAAGTAGGGAGAAATTCTTTTTTGGGGGGGGTGGGGTATATGGATTGAACTATATGATGCTTTCCAACTTTGAGATTCTGTGATTCAACTCAATTTGACTCAATTGAATGGCAATATTTAAAGGATCTATGATGAACAATACAAAGTGCTAGTGCTAGTGATGTAAGGATGAAAATGACACAATTTTGGCCCTCAAATGGCTTAAAATATGATGGAAAAAGCAAATAAATAGAGGCAATTTGGACAACAAACCAAGAAAAAATATGGACTAAACAATGATAAACCTTTTACATTCAAATATGGGGAGATGATATATGTGGGGAGGCTGGAAAGGCATGAAGCCAAGAAGCTAGGCAACAATCCGTTGATTTTTCTCTAGAGAGCTGGATGTCGAGTTAAGACTTCTGTGTGAAATCCAGCCTTTTAAAGGAGTGCCTCAAGGCTTTTGAAATAGCCCCACCCTTGCCTTAAATGGGTCCCCCTTCCCAAGAGAGCTAGTTATTACTGAAAGCTGTATCTTCACCTTCTTTAAAATACTCTGAGTCAAACGTGTGAGACAATGCTGTATCTTCTACACAGAGAGGAAGCTCTGATGGGGGCCTGCAGATGCTGTCTTTTCCAAGTCCTCGGGTCATAGATATGGGGAGTCTCAGTCTAGAGATCAACAGTGAGGAGTACCTCTCAAGATACTGAAAGAATTTATAACTATGATCCTAAGAATCACTGTTGGAAATCTTTGACAAATCATAAAGAATGAGAGGTACCTAGGGCAACACAAAAATAGACTATTGACAACAGAAATCTCACGGAGGTAAGACCTTTCTAGAGGGTGAGAGAAATTATAGAAGCATAGCATTTTGGTGTTACAAGAGACTTTGAAATAAAATTATCCAGCCTCTATATTTGTCATATGAGAAAACTGTGGCCCCAGAAAGGCTAAATCTCTAGCCCATAGTGACACAGCTACTTCTTAGAAGGGCTGAGATGAGACAAGAACCAAGATACCTGAAGGATTTGTAGAATTTCCAGGTGTAGAATTCGTTCATTCATATTATATTGTCTCTGGTATTACCCCCCTCTGAATTGATACCCATCATGACAGATCCTCTGGTTTGTAAAAATATCCATGAAACCACTTCTAATTAAGCAAATAAATAATTGGTTTGACTTTATCCATTTCACTTCCCACACGTAGCTTTGCTGCTCTGTTTGAGGTACATTCAGAATGTCTGGTCTGTTGCTCAGGACAACAGCAGTGACATTGATAATGGGTGTGGTGATGAGACAAGGAAGGGAAAGGTGAGTGTCATAAAGAGAAAAGTATAAATAAACTTTATTACTACTTAAAAAGGGAAAAGGTGGGGATAACCTGCCTCTGTCATGCTCTATTTTGAGGAAGAAAGAAATACCTCCGAGCCTTAGAATTCCCAGCTCAGGCTCAGAGTCTGATCCCATTGAATACTCCTTTCTAAGACCACCCACATCTATTCGATACCACTGGGGAACAAGAGTGGAAGGAAAAACTGGGCTCCATGTTTTCCTGTACTCCCCAACTTCATCATTAGAATAGATAAATATCCTGGCATAATCATGAAGTATATTTTTCTTTTTGTTCTCTTTGCTGGTGAGTGTCCATGGATTTCTAACCTTTCGTTGTTGTTTAAGTGGTTTCAGTAGTGTCTGACTCTTTATGGCCTCACTTGGGGGTTTTATTAGCAAAGATACGACAGTGGTTTGCCATTTCCTTCTCTGGCTCATTTTACAGATGAGGAAACTGAGGCAAACAGGGTTAAATGACTTGCCCAGGGTCACACAGCTAGTAATTATCTGAGGCCAGATTTGAACTCATAAAGATCATTCTTCCTGATTCCAAGACCACTAGCTTCCCTTATGTAACAGGAAAAGTCTGAATTGTTCTTGCTTAGGAGAGATTAGAGGTGGGAGATATAAGGAGAGTATGGAGAACAATTATGGGGAGCAGATGTATGCCTCCTACTCTTTGACTCTACCCCACCTTAGAGAAGTGTCAGGCACATCTTCATGTTCCCAAGCCAAGGGTGAGCAAATACTATAAGAGTTTAGGATCATCGATTTAGAGTTGGAAGGGATTAGAGGTCTTTGAGTACAATTTTCTTTCCCTATCCTACTCAGGTTATTAGAAAGCATGAACCCCATTACTCTTTGGGGGATCCTATTTTAATAACAGTAGAATAAAACTCAGAACATTTGTCCCATCTACAAACCTAAAAACTGAAAAGACTGTATTGAATTCTCTCCCTTCCCCTATCCTAGGTCCTTTCATTTCTGGTAATGTCTGGGGATGAAGTTTGGTGTGGTAATGGGAATCATCTCATTCTACTATTTCCATTCATCTCCCTTGCTGCTTCTGTTTGATAGATAGTAAAGTACGGAAGCGATGAGGTAGCGAGACCAAGACTAGTATCAACTGAGGCAACTGAGTGAGTACAAGAACACTCTATTTTTCTGATCCTATAACCTCGCTTCCTTCTCCATCTTTCCCACAAGGTGAATTTTTCTTTGGTTATACAGATGAGCAGAATGATGATCCTGCACCCTACCTCGCATATATCAAAAACCAGTTTAGCCCCTGTGTAGGTGTTCTGATCCATCAACAGTGGGTCCTGGCAGCTGCTCACTGCTACTTACCGTAAGTGACAAAGGCTTCCGTGCCCAAAATATAACTCCCTCTCAACCTGTATTTTCTGGAATTCTGTAGCAGGAAAACATTTTTTTAAACTTATCACATTCCACTTCCCCAAGGAAGGATAGTACCAGGATCAAAAAGAAGGGTTAGCTGTGTCTTATTAAACTACTCCAGATCAGTAGATATTATAGAAGGAAAGAGAAGATGGTGGGGAAGGCTCTGAGTTGATGAGCAAAAAAAAAAAAGAAGTTTAATAAACATAAAGAAGGTTAAGATGGGAGGTAATAAGAATTGAGGAGGTCATGGAACTTGTAAGGTCAAGGTATGGGAATATATAGTCTCTGTGCTAAGAGATAGTGTTGAAGAAGAAATAAGGAAGATTTTTGATTTTTTAAGTAAAAGGACCTTCTGGAACTTTAGAAGAATTGTGAGTTTAGCAAAGGAAGACAGTCTAAGTAGGGCCAAGTCAGAGAAGAATTGGCTAAAGTATGTTTTAAGAAAGCCTTAAACAAACATGTGGTTATGAGTGGATTCATAAATTCATTCTCTCCTCACTTTCACTTTCTCCGTCGCTATTGCAGAAGTCTCAAAGTGAAGTTGGGAAATTTCAAGAAAAGAGTTAGAGATGGAACAGAGCAGACTATTAATTCTGTCCAAATCATTCGTTACTGGAATTTGAGCACAGATGCTTCCGAGCACAACCTCATGCTAATCAAGCTATCCAAACCTGCAGTTCTCAATGAAAAGGTCCAGCCCATGGCCCTGCCCACTAAAAACTTCCCTGCAGGCACAAGGTGTGTTATCTCTGGCTTAGATTGGAGCATAAAAAATAGTGGTGAGTACTCATATGATTGCAAATAGGTCTTCATAAAGCAGACTAGGGAAATGAATGGATGGTTGGATGGATGAAAAACAAATTGTTATGAGCTTACTAAACTCTGGGCTTAAGAAAAGAAAAGTGATAGTGATACTGACATCATTGAGCTCACATTGTAATGGGGAGAAAACAGATATAAGAATTTTCAGCTTTGAGGAAAATGGAAAGGCCCCAGTGAGAAGGGGATTCTTAATGTGTAGAAGTAAAGCAGATGGTAATGCATTTTTTTCAGTTTCGTTGCCATCCTTAAAAACCATATCTGTTGATCTATTTGAAGAATTTGCTGGTGAGAACTTTTTTTTTCTGGGTCTTCAGTAACTCCAGCTGCTCAGGAGGCAGGGGTTCAAGAAGGAGGTTGCTAGGTAGCATCCTCACAATTGCCTGTTGATGCTCTAGCTGATGGCTTTCTGGAGCCAGGCTAGAAGCCAGGCCAGTGGTCTGGAGAGCACTGCTATTGCTTGGGCTGTGGGGTTCAGAGACTTGAGCTCCATCAGGGTCTGAAGGAAGGTGGAGACAGTGATTTGACTCTCATGGCACACACATTACCTTGCTTCTCCTCAGGATGGCTCTCTGCTGTTACTTAGCTTCACTGAATTTAGACCATTTTTTTTAATCAGTGCATCCTGGACTCGCTACAACTCTCTGTCTTTCCCCTTATGGTCTTGTTTTTAATTCTTTCTCATTAGAATATTACTTTAGGTTCTCTTCACTTTTGCTCATTCATCCCATGTTATAATCCCTGTTTAAATCTAAAACTTCTCTCTCAAAATCCATAAAGAATTCCTTCAAAGCCCCATTGTTTTCTAACAATGCCAGCCCTTGACCCATTACCCCTGAGTGCTAGTGCTAGTCCTTCATTCCTGTTTTGGCTTCATTTGCCTGTGGTGTCTTTCTGGAAGCACATGTTGATATTTAGGGACATCACTAAGAATGGGGAGGGGAAAGGGAAGGGAAGAAGATGGAGGAGAGTCCTTGAGATAGTGAAGGGACAGTCCTCACAGAGGAAAGGAAGGGGAAAACCAAATTAAAAATACATGGAAGCTTAAAACAAAGGACAGGTTGGTTGGTATTAGGGTTTCTGTATTAGGGTTTCTCCACATTAACAGAATCTGAGGGTTGAAATAGAAACAGGAAAAAAATTACAGAAGCTGAGAAGATCGCCAAATTTCCAACTTGCCTGAATATCCCACAGACACCTCAAGTCAATGTGTCCAAAACTCAATCTCATCAACTTTTTTTCTGAACCAGTTCCTCCTCTTTCTAATCCCTGTATTCTGTTCATGGCAATATTTATTCTCCTACTCACTCATGCTCCAAAATCTGAGGTTAGCTTTGATTCCTCCTTGCTCATATCTCCCTGTCAATCAGTGTTGTCTTTTTGATTCTTTTTTCAATAATCTCCCAAACCTTGCCTCCTCACCATCTTCAGGGACATAGTCCCAGTTCTGTCCCTCAACTAGTTTGCTTCTTAGCTGGACTTGGGGCATTATTTCTGAATTGGTTTTTGACTAGCTTCTACTCTCTCTCTCTCTCTCTCTCTCTCTCTCTCTGTCTGTCTCTCTATCATCCTATCTATCTCTCTTTCTCTCAATCTCTCTCTTTCGCCCCGTTTCTCCCCTCTGGTTCTTAATCTCTCTCTCTCCATTTGTTTGTCTCTCTTTTTGCCCCCACAAATCCTGCCTACACCACTGCAAGATGAATATGTGATCTCATCTTTACAGTTAAAAAAATTGTCATTAGATTTCAAATAGTCAATCAATTAATAAACATGTATTATGTGCCAGGCACTGTGCTAAGCACCAAGGATACAAAAAGAGGCAAAAGACAGTTCCTGCCCTCAAAGAGCTCATAATCTAATAGAGGAGACAACATACAAATAAGCTAGGATAGGATAAATAGGAAGGGACAGGAAATATAACTTTTGAGGGGTGGTAGGTGATGACTACCAAGCAAAATAAACAAACTCAAAGGCATATAGTGGAAATTAGGGTCTGCTATGATCATTTACATACAAGATCTTCTCTATTCTATTTGAGTACAATGTCTTGTACATATTAAGAAATCAATCTACAAATGCATTAACTATCTGTCATGTTACAGGTCTATGCTAGGCATTGGTAATATAAATACAATGAATGAAACAACCCCCTGCTACAAATAGCTTACATTCTAATGGTGGAGAACGAGTATATATAAGAATATATAAAATAAATATAAAGAGAATAAATACAAGTAAATGCAAATGATGAAAAGGGGGCTAGTTTGAGAGGAGGGGGAACACTAAAAAATGGTTGAAAAGAATCATGTTAAGTTAGTTACTAGCAGTAGGACATTTTCTCTGCCTTTTTGTCTCAGGCAAACACCCTGACCTTCGGCAAACCTTCACAGCCCCTCTGCTACCAGACAAAGAGTGCCAGCAAACAAAACAAGGAAAAGTCAGCAAAAACAGGATATGTGTGAAATTCTTAAAGTCATTCGAGAGAATTTTTATGGTAACTTTTCTACTGTCTTCTCAATTTATGAGGATCTCCTACCCCTATAAAGATCTAATCCAGGCTCTTCCCACTGTGCCACATTTCCTCTGTCAAAGAGTAGTGTAGTATTTTGGAAAGAATACTGGTACTGGAGTCTGAGGGGCCTAGGTTCAAAGCTAGCCTATGACATTTACTACTTGTAAAGTCTTAGACAGGACTCCCATCCTTCCAAGGCCTTGTCCCCTTCATCTATACAATGAAGAGGCTCAACTAAATGGTCTCTGAGGTCCCATCCAGTTTCACGTCTCTGACCCTCTGAGTACACAATAAATAATAGCATTCTTGTCTTTCGACTCTGTGTCTCTGGGACTTTGTGTGAGGTTAGGCAGAAATCTCAGACAGTGAAGACCATTAAGATGAAGCTACCTTCTCCCTATTTTGTGATGAAACAAGCCATGGTTTTCTACTGATAACCATCACCCAAGAAAATAAAAGTGCCCCAGCCACATCTCTCCCTCCTTTACTTTTGCAACACTGATTTTGGTTGCCCAAAATATATATATCCTGTTTTATAACACTGTCCTAGAGAAACTACATGTCCCATTATCCATTAAATCTGTACTATTGTTTCATCTAACACTGAATTTTCATGAAGGTAATTAGTGACATTAAGGTAGCATATGACTATATAAGAATGTTGTAGTCCTCCCCATCTTCAGGTTGAGGACTGATGTTCACTGGTGGGTGATAGGGCAAGTCTCAGAGTAAATTATACCTATAGGATTACACGATTTTCCTCAAGATATTCCCAGGTGGGAAGGTCACTAGGATTGACTAAAAAGCTGGTCTCAGTGTGAGCCTAATACCATCAGCCTCTATAAGAACAGTAAGTCCTGATCCTTGGCCCCTATTTCTTAGGGTTTCATGAAGTCATACACGTTTCTGATCTTTGAAAGACCTCAGAGATTTCTTTGCAGCTTGGGCAATCTAACCCCCTTTACCTGACACTTGGTTTAACTGGTCCTGAGAGAACAAACACTTTAGTAGTGGCAGGGTTGGAAGTCTAACTCATCTCATTCTCATTATAATACTCTATCTACTATACTACATTGCTTCCATGATGGGTTGGTGGAAGGTGTGGAAGTTCCATGCCCAACCTTGGTGACTGAGGTCTAAGTCAAAAGAGAAGCTCTAATTCCTTTTTCTTTTTTCTTTCTTCTCAGGAAGCTGCACTGGCTGCTGTCATCTGCAAAGACAAGATTCAAGGGATAGAGGTTGGGAATTTCCTAGGAGGTAACATTGGTGTCTACACTAACATCTTCCACTATATCCCTTGGATCCAGAAAATTATATCTACAAGATGAATTGCTTCTGTTTCCCCTTGAATTATGCTGTTGCAAGGGAAAAGTTAATGTGATATTTCATTTTATTAAAAGGAATATGACAGTCAAGTGTCTGGAAAAAAAATTCTTCTACTGTACTTCTAAATACATCCACCTTAATGTATTGTCTAATTTTGGAATACCTTTTTTTTTCAAAAAAATAAAGAATGTAGAGGGGTCCTAGAGAACTATGGGGAAGATATATAAAAGAGGTAAGGAAAAGGTCCAGAGAAGAAAAATTAGAAGACTATCTCTATTCATTAGCTTGAAGAAGAGATGGCTAATGGATGACTTCCATACCATGTTCAAGTAAAATCAAAGGACTGTATGAAGAGGAGAAGTATATTTCCCTTTTTGTTCCTGAAGGACTGAAAGTAGGAGGAAGATGATTTAAGTTAAAGTAGAAGAGAGGTGGTTGGAAATAAGGTAGAGTTTCTTGACCAATATTAAATCTTCATTCTCTTTTTTTTTTAGGTTAGATGCAAATGAGTTACCCTTCTTGGTTTCCACTTTTTGCTGCAAAAACAAAATAAGATAAAACAAAAAAACCTAGTATAATATTTTGGTACATACAAGACCTTTTCTTTTTGGTGTATTAGCCTGTGAAGACTTCAGTAGCCTCCCTACACCCTTAACAACCAAAGACCCTTTCTTCCTCCAGTAAAGTTGTTTGAATATCAACTAGCCCACAGTCCAACAATCCAACTCCACGCAATCCAACATGAATGAGACCCAGGCTCTCCACTCTTCTCCGCCCAATACCCAGTCCTATTTGACTCAGATAACAACTCTACAAAAACCCTACAAATTTTACTGCTTCCTTTCCACTGAGGCCAGGGGACCTGACCTGCTTCTATCATCCCTGACTGTCCCTTCTCTGTTGTTTCTCCTCAATACAGCTGGCTTGATTTACTTTCTCTCTGCTGACTCTTCTTTATTGTGTGCTCCCTATTTCCTTGTAATGTACCGTGGGATTCCAAATCTTACTCTACTTGCGTTAAGACAAAGCCTAGTAATAGTATAGCTGAGTCAAACGATATGCATACTTCAGCAGTTTTTTAGGCTTAGATCCAAATTACTTTCCAGAATTGGCTAGACCAATTCAGAGTTATACCAGTATCATTTTACTGTGCCTGTTATCCCATAACCTCTCCAACATTTGTCATTTTCCTCTTTTGTCAACTTTGCCAATCTAATGGGTATGGAGTGGAACCTCAGAGTTGCTTTAATTTTCATTTCTCTAATTATTAGTGATTTGAAACATTTTTTTCATATGGTTGATAGTTTGGCTTTCTTCCTTTGAAAACTGCCTGTTCATATCTTTTGAACATTTGTCTATTTGGAAATGGATCTTAATCTTATAAATTTGGTCTCATATATTTTATGTGAGATTTTATCAGAGAAATTTGGTTAGCTCTAATGCTTAGTCAATTTCTGCCTCTGCTGATAATTTTTTTTTCTTATCTGTTGGGTCCTAGTGATATCATTTTAAAAATGAAAGGACACAACCTTTCAGATCTATGGTTTGTGGAAAGATTCACAACTAAAGGAGAAAGACCACAAAAGGTTAAATAAACAATTTTGATTATATAAAACTGAAAAACTTGTCATGAACAAAATCTGCATAGCTAGACTTAGAATAGAAACAAATATATAGGAGTGACCAGCAAGACAGAGGACTAGATATTTTTCTCTGATTCTCAAAATCTCTCAAACCTCTCTAAAACATGAAATATGCACCAAAGATAAAGCAATTTCAGCTGCCTCCATGGTTTCAGACACCAAGAATCCAAAAGAAGGTAAAAACTCCATGAATTAATGCCTAACTCTCTTTCACTCAGCAACCTTTCCCTCACTACTCATCACACTCCCAGCAGCAAAGCTGCACTAACCAATCCAACATACACAGGCTTACAACAAAACATAACTCTTTATCTTGAAACTCCCTCCCTAACCCTTCCCAGTGCCATGGAGATCCAAACGCCAAACTTCAAAAATTTATTGAGACTACAGTAGTGCCATGGCAGTGTTCTGTGCTACAACAAAATGCTATAATCCAATGGATGAAAAGAAGGAATGGTCCAGACCTATGGACTTGTAAACAGAGCTTAACTCTATGTTCTTACCCCCACACCCTCCCATTAGCTCAGAGATCCAGACTCCAAATGGGCAGAATTTTGCCCACTATGCAATAACACCAGTGTGGCCACATTCTGTGCTAATGGGCCAGAGAACTGAGGAACAGAGAAAATGAAGCAGAATATCATATATGGGGGGGGGGGGTCCTCTGCTAAGCCAGAAGGAAGTACCCACCATCCAGATTGGACCATTTTTGTCTCCTCAAAAGTAACTAGAGGCAGAAACTTAGGCTGGCGAACCATGAATTTTCCAGCAATGGACAAGACTGAAATGCTTTGAGATCCAGCCCCCGAGAAATGACCAACAAAGGAGAAGGAGCAAAAAGGTGACCAAGAGGGAGAAGTAAGAGGGAAAAACTGAAATTACCACAGATCTTGGGAAAAATAAAACTCAACGATCTTAAACATAAACAGGAAACAGGGAAAATATTAACAACACAAAAAAAATGGCCTTCAGATCTGGCAAATAAATTCAGGCATCTATGAATAAATGCTACAAAACAAAGAGAAATGATTCAACATCTGATGAGGAAAGAGCTCTGTGGATTTTGAGGAGAGTGTGAAACCACAACACACTTCCTAAGTGGTTTAAAATAGAAATGAGAATTGTGAAAGCAGAATCTATGGCCTGCCCAGCAGAAATAATTGGTAGAACAGGAAAATTTGAATCTGTGACGATGTCTCACTAAAGAAATAAAAGAGAGAATAATTGATTGGGAATGCAAAAATACACAGAAGTGGAGGCCACAGTCTGGAAAAAGAGAAACAAAAAGCAATATTATAAGAAACAAATACATTGTCTCTTGACAAGAGCAAGAGACATTCCTGAATGATACATGGTCTATGAGTATAAAGTTTCCAGAAGAAATGCAAATGATCAATAAACATATAAGAAAAATGCTCCAAATCACTAATAATGAAAAAAATATAAATTTAAACAACTCTACATTTCACTTCATGCCCAGGCAATTAGCAAAGGTGATAAAATGTGAAGAGAATAAATGTTGAAAGAGCTATGGGAAAATAGACACATTAATACTATTAGTGAAAATGTGAATGGATCCAACTTTGTGGAAAACAATTTCAAACCATGTTAGGAAAGTGATTAAAGTGTTCATACCCTTTGGCATGAAGGGTATGAATCACTACCAAATATTTATCCCTAAGGAGGTTAAAGACAGAAGGTCTTTAAAAAATTTCCTTAGTTCTAAAGTTTCCTTAGATGCCAAAATATTTATCGCAGCAGAGTTAATGGTAGAATGAAACTGGAAACAGTGGGTGCTCATTGGTTAAGAGTAAACTGTGGTGTGTTAATGTAATTATTGTGTAGTCAGAAATAAGGAAGGTGAAGAATTCAGACTTGGAAAGACTTGTATGAACTGATACAGAACAAAGCAAGCTTGAACTAAGTGAATAACCTAAATGAAAACAGTCATAAAAGAAAACAAAAGATATCAGAACTATCAATCCAATGACTAATTCTGAATTCAGAGGACTGTTAAAATATTCCTCCTCAGAATACTGATGTGGAATGAGGTATAAATACTGTCAGATAAGATCACCATGTTAGTTTGTTTTGCTTAAATGCACTTCTTTGTTTCAAGGGAGACTTCAATTGGTGTGATATTGGCGAATAACAGCAATGTTTTTAAAATCATCAATAAATGTTTTAAGAAACTAAATTGTTAGCAAAAAAGGCTACAGAGAAGCATATTCTTTTTAAAGTTATCTATTTTGACCAGAGTGGATTTATTCAGGAATTCAAAAATGGAAATTATCATTATAATAAATCATAACAAAATAACATGTAACCCATGATTTAGGGTCAACCAGAGACCTTGCACTCACATGGACCAGGTCTAATCTATCACACACACACACACACACACACACACACACACACACAAGTTCAATCTCTGACCTAGAGATTCCCATCTCAGTCTTGGTGTGCTATTGATATGTGAGATAAACTCCTACTCAGAAAATGATGAACGCATATCCTAGACTGGAGTTGTGAAGTTTTCTGTCTTAAAGACATAGTCATGTTTAGCCTTAAATTGCATTCTTTCTCCTTATATACTGTCACTTCAAGAAAAAATTCCTTTTTTTTTTAACTGAGCATTCACCCTATAGAAGCCCCTTTTCCAGTGGAAGCTGGTTTTTATTTCCAACTACGTTTGCATTTTGCTTCTCTTATAAAACTGTAAGGCCATCCAAACACACACACATTTAGGTTAAGAAAATAAATGTCACAAATACTACAGGAGGACACCTGCTTAAATAATAATTCACATGAAAAAGACCTGGTAGGGGAGAGGGGAAAGGGGAGACCCCAAATTCAAGATGAGTCAAGAATGCAAGACAGCTATGAGAAAAGCTGGACAGCCTATAGTGATTGAAGAAGTACCTATGTGGGTCACGGAGATGGATGGCAGGGCCTCAGGTCTGCAGTGCATAGGTGAGGATGGCTAGACTGCAAGAGCATATGGGGGGAGCAACGTGAAGGAAGACTGGAAAGGGCAAGGTTCTTCCAGAATCTAAATGTCAAACAGAGTCTGCGTTTGATTCTACAGGCAATTGGGAGCCACTTGGTTTTATTAAGAGGACTTCATCAGAATTGTACTTTAGAAAGATCACCTTGGGGAGAATAATGATAGTAGCCGACATTTATATAGCATTGTAAAGTTTGCAAAATGTCTTATGTTGAATTGCTTATTTAAGCTTTACAAAAACCTCTGAAGCAAGGCATGACCAGTAATATTATCTCCATTTTACAGAAACTGAGGCTTAGGGAGGGTAAGGGATTTTCTCATGGTCGAAGGTGGGATTCAGATCTAGGTCTTTCCGATTCCAATCTAATCTAATACTCTTTCCACTATAGCACACTACATTTCTTGAATACCTCTTACCTATTGGGCAGAGGTGTGTGCATGTCTATGTGTGTGTGTGTGCATGGGTGGGGAGGAGACTTTGGATAGAGGATAGGGACATGACTTGTAATTTCATTGGTACAAGGAGCTACTGGATGAGAAAATTCATTTTAACCACTGTAGAACAGCACTTTCTCTGCAATTTACAGTTTTAGAGTTTTAGAAAAGGTCTCAAACACACCACAGAGTAGCCTGCAACATTCCTGAGTGTGGCCAGAACCAGATTAAAACCGAACTGGGAAATATTTAACAAAATAAAGAAAAACACAATATAACATAGATAAAATTACATTTTAAAACTATGTTAATCTGAAGCTCCCCAGAGATCCCGATGTACAAAGTAGTGGCCCCTGTCTCTATTTGAGTTGGACACCACTGATCTAGAACATAGAGGTTAAGTGACTTGCCCAGGTTCATATAACTAGTAGGTGCCAGAAGTGACACAACATCAGATCTTTCTGGGTCCATGGCCAGCTCTCTCTACCCACAATGCCGTGCTGCCTATGAGAATGCGATGAGGCAATAGCTATTACCATCTTTTCAGAAGCATGTAAACTATTATGAGATGCAAATTAATCTTTTGTTATTTATAATTCAAAACTGGTATGCACTCACCACAATACAGCTCCAATGATTTATTACTGGAATAGGAATCAGCTAGTTATAATACAAATAATTTAATGGTACCTAGAAATGTCATCTTCCATATTGCCACCCAGAGAGAAGAGGTCCCTAGTTCTAGAAAAAGTCTGACTAATGTACAAGAGAGCTGGTATGACTTCACTGCAGGCCATTTCCAATATCCCTTAGCAATTCTTTTAGGGGCCATACTAATTTTAGCCTAATCTTTTTGTCTAGGGTCACAATGATAAGGATAGTAATGCAACTGGTGGTGGAGGAAATGATGATGGTGATGATGATAACAAGGGGTCATTGTCACAAAGAGGAGAGGGGTCAGGGTAAGGTATAAATAACTCATAGGAATCAGAGGGGATTAGCAAGCAGGAGGCTAACATGACCCTGTCATCCTGGGAATGGTGGAACTCTCTTCTCTGGAGGAAGAACTCTCTTCTCTGGAGGAGGAAAAAGCTTTGAGTACTGGAGTCTCCTATTCTAAGCCTCATTTTCCCAACCAGAACTCCCTCTCCAACTCAATCCACAGCTTCCATCAGTATCAGTGAGGGAAAAAATCTAAGCCAAGACTTTGCTGCTTCCCTCCCTGTCTCCTTCCCTAGCATCAGCGGTAAGACAGGATCCTGACATGGCTATGAAGTTTATCCTTTTCTTTGTTCTCTTTATCGGTGAGTGATCCATTGGTAATTCTTTCTTTATGATTCAGAAAAAATGAGACTGCTCTCTCTGGTATTGATTGGGGCATGGGATGGTGGGGAGGCAGTTTGGGGCAAGACGAGTCTAACAATATAGTGCCACTTGGCACAGTGGAAAAAATGCTGGATTTGGGATCAAAGAACCTGGGTTCAAATACTGTTTCCTCCCTCCCATCCACCTATCCTCCTGAATTCTGGAGATCGCCTGCAGGGATAGAGTCTGGCGGGGAAGGGAAATCATTCTATTCCACTACCCCATTTCTTTCCCTTACTTCTTTTTTTGAGAGGAGCGGGGCTAGGCAATGGGGTTAAGTGACTTGCCCAGGGTCACACAGCTAGTAAGTGTTATGTGTCTGAAGGACTAGTGCTCTATCCACTGTGCCACCTAGCTGTCCCTTCCCACACTTCTTAGACTGAAGGCTCCAATGACAGACTGGGACAAGGTAAGAGGAATCATAGAATTGCAGATCAGAGCCTATCTAGTATAGCCCATACTTGAACAGAAATTTCTTTTAGGACAAGTCATCCATCTAGCCTCCATTTGAAGATCTCTTGTGATGGGAAACATTTCCACAATTCCAGCAAAAGTTTTCCTAAGGTGCATTTTATTTTTGTTGCTATAAACTGCCGTCTTCTCCCTTCTTTCCCCAGGTGCATTTTCTTCTAATGACAAAGCTGAACAGAAAGAAGATCCTGCCCCCTACTTGGTCTACTTTAGGTCCCATATGAACCCCTGTGTGGGAGCCCTCATTCATCAACAATGGGTGTTGGCAGCTACTCACTGCTACTCACCGTAAGTGACGATTATTCTGATCCTTGATAATGAGGCAGCTAATAAAACTGTACACACCCTTTGATCCGGCAATATGACTTCTAAGTATGTATCCCAAAGAGAGCAAAAAAAAAAAAAGAGCCTGTTTATACAAAATATTTATAAGCAGCTCTTTTTGTGGTAACTAAGAATTGGAAATCAAGGGAATGCCTGAACAAGTTGTGGTATGTGACTGTAATGGAATAATATTGTTCTATAAAAAGTGACAAGTAGGATGCTTTCAGAAAAACCTGGAAAGACTTACATGAACTGATGCAAAGTGAAATGAGCAGAACCAGGAAAACATTATACATGGTAACTGCAATATTGCGTGATGAAGAATTGTGAATGACTTGGCTATTCTCAGCAATACAATGATCTCAGACAATCCCAAAGGACTCATGACGGAAAATGCTATCCTCCAGAGGATGCTTTTTGGAATAAAACTAGTTCTTTCTCTGGAGGCGGATAGCATTTTCCATCATGAGTCCTTTGGGATTGTTTTGTTTGAATACAGACTGAAGCATACTATTTTTCACTTTCTCCCTTCCTTTATTCCTTCCTTCCTTCCTTTCCTTTCCTTTCTTTTTGTTCAAGTTTCCTTGAACAAAATAACTAATATGGAAATGTTTCACATGTTTGCACATGTATAACCTATATCGGATTGCTTACTATCTCAGGAAAGGGAGAAGGAAGGGAGAGAGGGATAGAATTTGGAACTCAAAAGTTTAAAAAAATTAATATTAAAAATTGTTTTTACACATAATTGGGGAGAAAATGGAATATTTTTTAAAAGGGGAACAGTCAATGATGTTTTGTAACAGGTTGCATCTTTATAGTCATATAATTTAAAAGTTTTAGTCTTAAAACTTTATAGTCATATAATTTAAAAGTTCTACAGTTATACAGAAAGTTACAGAGAACATAAAATTCTTAGAGTGATTATTACTTGTTGATTATTTTTAAAGTGTTTTATTAGGTAAAGCAAAGCACTGTCTTAAAGGTTAAAAACTAAGGTAACTAGATGATACAATAAAACAAAACATTAGATATTGTTTCAGGAAGAACTGAGTTCAAATTCAGCCTCAATACTTGCCAGCTGTGTGATCCCAGAAGCTTGCTAGCTGTGTGACCTGGGCAAGTCATTTAACTTATGCTTGCCTCAGTTTTTGCTGTCTGTAAAGTAGGGATAATGTAATAGCACAAAAATTGCTGTGAGGGTCAAATGAGAGACTATTTTTAAAGGGCTTTGAAAATCTTAAAGCACTACATAAATGTTAGCTATTAATAATCACCCCTAAACCCCTTCGGTCTCCACTTTCATGCCCAGGCATGACGCTGCCTCAGTCACCACCTACTTTTTTTTTTTTCTAGAGTTTTATAGCTGCAACAGATATTTTGAGGTTATCGTATTTCTACCCTCAGGGTAAGATCACGCTTTGGCCCAATTAGTCTAACTATTCTCTCTCACACCAACCCAGAGGAATCTCTTTGGGTACGCATGTGTGTCTACACATACTCACACACATTGTTCTGTGTGTATGTGGTAGATGGAGAGCAATGGAATTAAGGAAGTTTTAAAATATGTTGATGAAGGAATAGAATGACCTTGTGATTCTTCCTCCTAGCGCCCTCGCCTGCCACCCCTCTCCTAATTCCTTGCAGAAACCTCATACTGGTGCTGGGGAATTCCAAGGTCGGGACGAAGAACAGAACTGAGCAGATTTTTAAGCCAACGGAAGTTATTCACTATTGGAACAAAAGCGATGAATATCAAGAGCATGACATCATGCTGCTCAAGCTGCCCAGGCCTGCAACCCTCAACCACAAGGTCCAGCCAGTAGCCCTGCCCACTAGAAACTTCCCCACTGGTGCAGAGTGTACGGTCTCTGGCTTGGACTGGAGCATGGACAATCTCAGTGAGTGCCTGGGCATTTAACACAACACAGAGAAATGCAAACAAAACACCTCAAAGGAAAGTCACCCCAAGAGAGCCAATCCCACCTACAGCCAACACTGCTCTGCCTCAAAAAGATTTCCCATGGCTCCTTTGCTGTCCTGAATTCTTTCATGGGCTGCAACTGTAACATGATGGGGTCGGCCTGCACAACAGGACTTTTGTGTGCAGACGCCCTGTGTTTATGCAGCCAGAAAGTCTCTTTGTATACTTCTTACAGATAGTCTCAGCGTAGGGAAAACATTGGTGCCCTCTTCAGAACTTTCGGCAACAGCTGCTGCCTCCTTGTCCCCATACATCTATTTAGCCTTGGGCCTTTCTGATCATGGTAATAAGATGATATAAATTTGTATCTTCTACACAGAAAGGGAACATTTTAAAAGAATTATGGCAAATTAAAGGGGAGGAAAGTTGGTCCAGAGAGTAGCAACAAAATTGAAAATGTCTCTTTTTTCCTTATTCCCTTCAGGTAACCACCCAGACCTGCAGCAGAACATAAAAGCACCTCTGATCTCTGAAAAGGAGTGCAAGAAAACCAGGCAAGGAAGAATCATCAAGTATGGAATATGTGTCAAGTTTTTGAAGTCATTCCACAGACCCTTTGTGGTAATTTTCTCTTTTCCTTTCAACTTAAATTTTATGTTTCTGCCACATAAATTTATGAGATGGAAGGAAGGAAGGAAGGAAGGAAGGAAGGAAGGAAGGAAGGAAGGA